AAGAGAGTTTGTTCATTATTGATATCTTGGCATCGCACGTTACTCTTTTACAAAATCTGAAACGTCCATTCATCATCCTGTTTGGGCATCTTTTGTTTTTTTCGTGTGGATGCCATGTTGTCCATTTGGAGTTACGACAACCAACCTTATTAACAACGTCTCGTGATTACAGATTTAGCTGAAACAAATCAAACTTTTATTTTGAAAACGGTCCTCTGACATTTTTTAAGATTAAATAAGTTATCACTTCTTTCAAAGTTTGATTTTTTTTCTCAAAAAAACAAATGCTCTATGTTTATTGATTTCCATTTGGAAAAATTTTTTGTTTTTGGATTGCCTAATTCTCATAAAAAAAGCATTTTTACTTTGTTGCTTATTACCTTATTTAACTGAATTAACTTTTTCGCTCAAATATGTTTCTGTAACTATTACAACCTTATCCCTTCCCAACTACCAACTTTCATGACTCATCCCCAACACAGCACACATGCACCACAACACTTTATATGTACAGAATTGGATTCTCAACTTGAAAATAATTTTAAGGAGAAGAATGATATTTTGAAATCCAAAACTTCTTTACACTCATCTTGAAATTTTTCCTTCCAAGGGGATATTTTAGTAAATGTATGTGGAGATGGAGAGTAAGATTGTCAAAGGGACACGTCATCAATGATCCTATCCATGATCCATGTTAGTTAGCTGGTGAGAGTGAGCAGAGAGCAGAGTGTGGGGTGGTAAGAAAGAATGGCCATTTCAATGATTTCATCGACATTTTCTTCTTTCAAGCTCACTTTCCTTCGCCCATGCCAACTTCAACCTCTTACTTTCACTTTCCCATCTTCTTCTGCTATAGCTCAACCTCTCCCACTCAGGTTCGCTGCAAAAATTCACAGCGTTGGAATTGGAAGAGAAGGTGCACCTTCCGATCCTAAGGCCGGAATTTCGCTTTACAAACCTAAATCCTACCAAGTTCTCGTCAACGATGCTGCAAATTCCCTAGCTTTCGCGCTTCAAGACGGAAAAATTCGTCTCGAAATCGATTTCCCGTATGCATTCTCATCCACTTTCATTGAATCGCAGTTCCCGAATGCCTTAACCTTTTTATCACTTAACTCTCAACCTGTTTTCTGCAGTACTGTCTGCATTTTGGTCTTATGACGATTGGTTGATTTTCCTTTTGTGTAATGTATGAATTGCATGTTTTTCCAGGTTGTGTTTTCCTGATTTGTCATTTGGGTTTTTTTTTTTTTTGTATGCAGGCCTTTGCCCACCAACGTGTCTTCCTATAAGGTACCATTCTTTGCAGTGCTCTTGTCGTCACTAATCATTGCCACTTTTGTTCCTTTCATTTTATCGTCTAATCTCTTGGTTCATGATAAAAACCGTGTATGAACCACACCACAAATGGTAGCTGTTGTGGTTTGAGAACCCCAGGCCTTATAAAGCCCATACCTTCTGTGTGGGATTCAAGTTCCATACCTTGCAATTGGGGTTGATAGACTTACTCAATAAGACTACAAGTGCTTGAATGATTTTTGATGGGATTGTCTAAATAAATTAATTTGTAGGAATGTTGTAAATCATTTTGATAAACTAAACCTAACGCCTTCAATTTTGGGCTAAAGTGCTTATGTGATAAGTAAACCCAAATAAGTTCCATGGAAGCTTTTCTAAACACCCCCAATTAGATCTTATGCTCTTCTGAATAAGTCACTGACCATGTCAGGTGACCACTGATTTCATGCTTCAAGAAAAGAAACGTTCTAATTCTTAGTTACTTGACCTTTGTTTTACATGCTTATTTGATTAAATTGCACATAATTTACTCAAATTCCTAAATATTTCAAGGGATCCTCAGATGAGTTCATTGATGCCAACATTCAACTTGCCTTGGCTGTTGTAAGAAAGCTCCAGGAGAAAAAGGAAACCAGAGCTTGCATAGTAAGAAAATACATTCTTTTCTTCCCTTGAAAAGAAATCCATGAATGTATTTTACTCTATTCCCAAAATGTTACTACATTTGTTCCTCTTTGTAGGTATTCCCTGATAAACCAGAAAAGCGCCGAGCCTCTCAATTGTTCAAAACAGCTCTAGATTCCGTAATGAAAAAATAACTCATTATGAATTTCTTTCCCATCTGTCTAGTGACCCAATCCACATTCCACTCAACATTTTTTCTAAAATCATGCCAGCAAAAGATCACACCATATTTTTCTTCCAGATTGATGGCATTACCATAGGTTCCTTAGATGATGTCCCAGCTGGACCTATGACTTCGTTTTTCAGATCTGTCAGGAACACCCTTGATTTTGACTTTGAAGATGACAACGAAGGTTAGTTCTTGGGGAAATGGTATAGTTATAGCTTTCTAAATAATAACGTTTTCCTAGTGTGTAGGATAAACTTAGGGATATCAATTTATGAAATTATTCTTGGAACATCTATTGGTGGCAGTATTGCTTTGTAAATCATGATCATGATAAAATAATAATTTATTGACCATTTTCTTTCTTAAATGCAGGTCGTTGGCAATCCAGTGATCCTCCATCAATCTATATATTCATTAACTGCAGTACTCGTGAACTTGCATATATAGAGAAGTATGTGGTACGGTGTTTCTGCCATTAGATGGTTTCCTGAAACTCTCTTTTCCCTTTTCAAATCTTCAATAAATTTCACTCTTATCTGCATTTGCTATTTTGCTTAGTTTTGGCGAGAAATATTTAGAGTTTGTTCATTGGTAATCAATATTATGAAATAATTGTACGTTGATTTGAGTTCTTTTTATTCTCATTTTCGGTCAATGCATAAGATTTTGCAGCATACCTAGTTTAGCTTCTAATTATATCCCTTCCAGTAGTAACATCTTAGATGGTAAAACTTGATCTAGGTTCTGCAATTTAAAAGAATTTATTCTGCATATTTTTATTAGCTGCTTTAGTTTGATGGATACCTTCTAATTTTACTATTTGGGTTTTGCAGGATAAAATTGCTACATCAACCCCAACACTTTTATTTAATCTTGAACTAGATACACTACGGTATATGTTTGTACTCCTTGAGTTTTTTTTTTCTGATTGAGTTTTCATTCATGCCTAATTGCTTAACAATTTCGTATACTTATCCTTGACAGAGAATACTTATTGAATTTGCAGTGCTGATTTAGGCCTTCCAGGCTTTCCTGCCAAAGATTTGCACTACCGCTTTCTTTCTCAATTCACTCCGGTTTTCTACATCAGAATCCGAGAGTATTCAAAGGTACCACTTCTTTATTGAATTGCCTCCATATATTGATTCTTTTTATCAAATAATAGACATTGACTCTTTCCTCTTTCTGTTTTTAAGACAGTTGCAATAGCGCCATATATTGTCAATTATTCTGGAGCCGTGTTCCGCCAGTACCCAGGTGCAACTATGTATATGAACGGGTGTCTTATATGCACGAATAGACACCCACACGCACCCCACTTATGCAAGTTCATATTATTTTTTCAGTCTATTAATGCAATCACATATTATGTAAAATAAATATCGAGGTTAAAGAAAACTGAAATAAAAATGTAATGCATTACTGAGAAATATGCGGATATGATAGACTGATACTTTATAAATTATACCATAAATTTGATATATTAACATAAGACCTGACAAGTAGCAACATTAATTTTATATTTTTAATTTTTTATTGTGATTACATGCTTCTCTATGTTGCTGGGGACAATTTTTTCTTCTTATTGTGTGACTACCATTCTTTTATTTGCTGATATGGATGATGCACTAATTTGTTCCTTCATAAACTGTTCAGGTCCTTGGCAGGTGATGCTTAAACAAGCAGATGGTTCTTATGCATGCATAGCAGAAAGTGCTGATCGGTTCAGCCTTGGTGAGGTAATTTCAAAATAATCTTAACATCATTTACTTATTAATTGGAAATAATCAGCCTCATTTTCTTATTAGTTGTAAATAGTTTCATATTAGTCCATTGACTGATATAGGCCAAAGAGGAGTTGCTAAGGGTCTTGGGGCTTCAAGAAGAAGAGGGGAGCTCTCTAGAATTTCTTCGAAGGGGCTACAAGGTGTTAATCAGTTTGTGTTCCTTATATGCATGCTTCTGTCTTGTTTATTACTATTCTTTTAGTCCCTGGTAAAATTTGCATATACATGTGATCCTACACTGCATCCTCTATAAGGGTAGTCGACATACAAGACAACTTGTTGTGGATTTTATGTAGTGTTTTTTTTTTCAATTTCATTATTCTTACATGCACATGTGATCACCTTTTTTAAATATTTATGCAAATGATCAAGCATATTCTCATACTGTTTTGTTTGAGAATTGAGTTGACTCAGTTTCCTGCTACAGTGGGTTATTATTAGATATTATATCTTATTCGGCCTGTCTCTAGTTCAGTTATAAATTATACCTGCATGCTGTGATATGCAGGCAAGCACGTGGTGGGAAGAAAATTTTGATTCAGAAGTATCTTCTGCATGGCGGACTTGAGTAGTACAGTGTTAGCAGAGATTGTGTTTTTTTAGTGTGTTGGTATGTAGTGGTCAATGGATGTGCTCACATATATTCAAGGAAGATAATTTATTTTTAATCAGTAATATCCTTATTGTGTTTGATAACGCTTCATCACAAACACAGATAATTTTCCTTGCTTGGTATAGGAGACAAGAAGAATCGACATCAGTCTTATTGACGTATTTTTTACACTGTTAATAGAAAGCATATTTTACATTATGTTCATAGGTAAATATTTTGAAATTTGCAGACATACCATGACAGCTAATACTAGCAAGCCTGCAGACATGTGCGAAATGGCTAGCAATGAGATGTTATATCTAAAAAACACCAGTAGAAATTAAACAAACCTAGACTCGTGTTCTAGGTTACCCAAACAAAAAATTGTTGAACCTCATAAGCTAACACCGTTAGTGATATCAGCTGATGAATGCATATCTTGCAAGTCAAGTTGAACCGCAAGGGGAGGAGGATCAGTTTTCATCATAATCACTGAAGTCAGGTTCTGGGGGCTTTTGGAGTTTGAGTATGTCCTTGGAACTTGAATCACGACGCCTATGACCACGAAGTGCATTTGCAGCAAAGCGAGATGCATAGACGGTTGTAGCAAGTCCAAGGTTAGAAGAAGGAAAATCAGCCTTTTCAGAATGCTTGACCAAGGCTTTTGCAGAATCATCACTGTTGTCATAATCAGAGTCATATAATTCTTCTTCCTCCCTCCTGCGCTGTTCTGCTATCTTTCTCCTGCAATGCCGCCTCCATGCAGCTTGAATGTAGATAGCAGCCCATGTTCTCCACTGCTGTGAATAGAAACGGAAGGTGTGCTGAACCTGTCTGCTGTGGATGTGCCTAAACTGGGAAGCAACAAACTTCAACTCCTCTGCTTCCAAAGCAAATGCCTCCACCTCATTTATAGCCTTCACAGTTCTTGTTGATGATGGCAAGTTAGCACCTGATTTGGGGTCCAATGCCCACGTTAGTAGCTCCTCTCCACAGAAGTCATTTTCCTTCAGAAGACCTCTGTTGAAGAACCCACTTCTTCCACCATCTGTGGTGACACTCTCTAGACGCCCACGTATGATGAAGTGCATCTCATTAACTGGGTCCCCTTCCCTCACTATGTAAGTTCCCTCTGTATATAAACTAGGCTTCAATCGCTCACATATAGCATCAAGCAAACGTTCATCCATGTTGGCAAAGAGAGGAACCTGAACAACAATACACGGCGTCATTTTCACTAGACTTACGAGGAAATGAAGAGTTATATCTCAAAGCACAGGCTACTATACTAAGTATTCACTCACCCTTCTGACTAAATTCAAACAAAGATGCCGTTTGATATCTCTCCTGAGATCTTTTGGAAGACTCTGAACTATGCTCTCTTCATCTACTCCACGGGTGTTCAGCCACTTGTATTGGTCATAGCGTCTCACTCTTTCCCTTAGTTCTGGAGGAAGCAAACGATGATGCATCCATTGCTCAGAATCACGTCTTTTGATCCTCATTTCCTCAAGACGAACTGACATCGATTGAAGGTAGGTCTGTCCGGTTGCAAAATAGCACAAAGATTAAAACCTTGGTAGTAACTGACTCTTAAAGTCTTTTATAAATGAAGACATTTGATAATCTTCATTGATATATAAATGTTTACCTGCATGTTTCCGATCAGAAGAGCAAAAAGGATAAGCCCCATGATAGCTATTACTATGGAAAACATAACCTCTGTTGGGTATGTACTGGTTAGAAGCCCCTGACCAAGTGTACTGTGGAACGCAAAACAGAAGGTGGGCTTTAGGCTTGGAAAATTTGGAAACTATAGCAATTTAATGTTACCTCAAGTTTAAGACGAATCTAATTTTAGAGAATCAGACACGACAAGGAATATACCTCAAGTTTTGAAGACCCCACCATAAACAGTAACAGAACTTAGGAAAAACTTCTATGGAAGCAACAATATCAGACTCTATAGCTTGAGAGAAGATGCCATAGCTAAATTCTGAGGAACCATCCTCCACATAGCACTGACTTTTCAGAACAGTTTCGCTAACATTTCTCCAAGTGTCATACCCTGGCATACGCTTGTTCGAATTCGCACAGTACAAGAAATGTATATTGCACCCTTCAACTGCTCTACAAGCATTCTTCCAGCAGGTGTCATTACGTTCAATGGCTAGTAAGTACCAGCAAGAGCCAGTTATCTGTGACATTGGAGAATTGTCAGAAGAATGAACTTGTTATTACTTCATAAATTAATAAATTCTCTTCAAACATGAATTAATTAGCCTGTATGGTCAAAAGAAACGGAGACGATTTAGTTTGCTATATCCAAGAGTTGAACTTACGTGACTAGCAAGCATATACCATATCAAATAGTACATGGCCCCGAGCAGTGCGTTCTCAGAAAAAACACCAGCTGTCTTTTTAACTTCAGAAGCTAAAGGTAAAAAACGTATAAATCTTGGAAAATATTGCAGAATCACAATTCTTAGCAGTAACGTTTTTGTTTCCAAGACCTTTACACGTCCTGATCTGTAAAGATATTTCCACACTACAATCTGCACCAAACATGCAGACAATAAATGAACCTCTTGCACAAAAATTTTGCAAATATAACTTCGTCCATAATTTATATCATTCGAAGAAATTCCTATGCCTTTAACAGTTGGTAGTTCATGAAAAAGCCCGCAAACAATCTTCTTGTAGGACAAAAAGATAGAAGATGGACGATAAATCCTAGTATTTTCTGTGTATTAATGACGCCTACATAACCTTTCATGAATGTGTGTGTGTGTGTGTATATATATACACATATGTATGTATGTGTGTGTCACAGTAATGCAAGTAAACCTGTGGTATAGGGAGCACAGAAACGAAGTCAATGATGAAATAACGTCGTAAGTATCTCTTGGCAATCTGTGTAGGATCTATGACAAGTTCACCTCGTCCAAATACCCGAGATGATGGTGCGATGTAAGCAGTGCGGAACTGAAAACTTATGCGGATAAGATAAACGGCATCGCATATTGTTCTCAATGTGACAGCAAAACTTGCTAGCTCATTGTCTATGGCGAGGCAAAATGATTTGTGGTTGAAATAAGGAAGATAAAAGAAGAAGGGATCACAAGCCACAGAAAAAATGCATAGAATCTCAAAAAACTTGTTCCAATACAGAAGGTTCTTGTCTTGAGGATCAAACACTTTTTTCTCTGAAACTTTAAGGTCTTCAGGGAACACTGCCCATGTAGTCACCCCACTCTTGAGTGATCTTCCAAATGTTTTTAGTCCATCCGAACCCTTCTTCACTCCTAGCTTAAACGATTTCGATGCTCTTTTTCTTCCACGACCAGGAATTGGCAGAGAATCTAAATTGAATCTTAATTTTTTCATCCCACTTGAGCTTGATTGATACGACAAATTCGAATCCAGATCATCCAACCTACATCATCCACTGTACGTCAGATTCGGAGACACTTTCGTTAACAACTTACTCTTTCGGTGCATACTATACAATGATCATTAATCAAAATGAAATTGATATAACAACGAATTGCATGGAACGATATAATTTGAACTCTGACATCATCGTATTGAACATTCTACATTCAAACACAAGCAGCAGAGAAATAAATGTGCTTCTGTATTGTATACCTTACGAACTTCTCCTTCTGGCCTCCAATATACTGTGACTTGTAACCAGAGTCAAACATTTTGAAGAAATTACATAGAGACCGCCAGAAATACCAAATCTATCTGGCAGTTTCCTGAAATAAGAGTATTTTTAATGCTCAATTTCAAACAATGCAGATAATCACAACGATGTTAGAAAGTTTGTTCTGTTCATAGGCTCTAACATATGAAATCCAAAGGAAGATAATGCTTTGAAAACAACGAAGGAAATAAAAATTTGACATGATTTTAGGGTGGGTTATCGATATCAAACATGTGACTTTCTAAGGTTTGAATTCTACGTTTTCATTAACAATGTCAATGCACAATTATAATAATGATGTTTTTCAACAATTTCATTCCCAGATGTAGATAGAGAAAGACATGATCATATGCAGGGTTGTCCATTTCTAGCAGGTCCTCCCCCTTCGATTTCCATGATTGAAAAGGAAAATTGGAATAGAACTACTTTTACAATTCATGAAGGATGGAAAATTGGATCAGAAAAAAGAATGAGGAACTTACTTTGAAGGCTTTGATTGTACAATGTTATGGTATATTGGAGAGTGCGGAGGAATGGGAAGAGATGAAATTAGAGAGAAAAAAGGGACTGTAGGCAGTTACATGCGTCTTCAGACATGCTGCTTTTTTTGGTAAAACATGAGCCAACATTTATGTTGTATAAATTTGGAGCTATTTAATCCCTGTCCATTGCTTCATAAGGATGTTACAGACATTCAACAATTAAACTACATTTTTACAACAAAACTTTCAATTTTTAGACTTATTTATTTATATATATATATATATATATATATATATATATATATATATATATATATATATATATATATATATATATATATATATATATGTTTCTAATTTATTTACAAGTTATTACTAACCATTTCATTTTCTATTTCACCAATAGAAATCTTCTTTCTTTTAAAATTTGTAGTCACATAGACAATGGTAATTTGAAGAAGATGATTCTGTACATATTTTAATACGAAATTAACCAAATGAAGGTATTTTGCATTGATGAATGTAAATCTTATCTTATAAATTAATTTTATAAGATTGAATTAGACTAAATAATTTATTTTAATAAAAAAAATTGTTTATTCAATTTATTTCTGTAATTTATTACTCGTTATCAAATTATCTGTTAACTTGAATGGAAACGTTAACGATTTAGTGACAAGTTTTTCCTGTGTTGAAATTTTGCATTGTGGTTCGATAGTTGCAACTGGTTTTGAGATGTACAAAACAAAGGTCAACGGTCCAAATCAGTTTTGGAGTATAATTATCTTCTGTTTTATTTTCTTTCTCTTCTCTCCTATGCTTAAGATACAAGGTTTATTTTAGTGGATAAGTGTAATATATTTTTAAAACATTTTTATGATAATTTTGATCACAAATGTAATATATAATATTAAAATTTAAAAGTATAGGTACATGATTTGAAAGCAAGAGACAGGGATGGTGGCACAGGAATCAAGTAGAATAGTATAATATTGATTTTCTATTATATCTTAAAAATGTAAGAAAAAATAGGAAGTTGTAAGTTTGTATTTTTCTTTATTTTAATTTAATTTATAAATAAATCTTATATATTTATAATGATGTCTGTGACTTACTAAATTAATTATAACAATCATAATAAATTATTAATGAAGATCGCTTTGTATCATTGAAAAATTCAAATTCATCAAATAAATAAATAAAATGTTTTTTAAATTACTCTGTAAAAGAAATATTGTTAATAAATATTAGAAACTAAAAAAGTAATTTAAAATGTTTTGAGGAAATAGAAGAAAAATATTTTACCAAAACTAAACTAAAATTGATATTTTAAATAAACTAAAATCAATTATTCAAATTTTATAAGAATAAAAAATAAATAAAAATAATGAAAAATAAAGGAAAATAATAATATTTACAAAAAAACATATTTATCGTTTTTTTTTCATCGTCCATCAAATAAAAATAATTAATTGATATTATTATAAAAGAGAATTTATAATTTATTTTTTCACATTTTTATTGTTTAAAAAATATTAAACTAGCACAACTACTCCATATATATTTCTATATTTTTTTAATTTAGAATAATTTATGTATAATTTAAATTTTTTTATGAATTTATTATTCATATATTCAAAATATTATAAAAATCTTCAAGATATTTATAAATAATATTTTATTATATTTTTATGTTATAATATATATTAAAATATTTATAGTTAATATTTTATGATATAATAATTTATTATTTAATATTTTTAAGATATTGTTATATAATAATTTATTATCTGAAAGTGTTGGGCTTAAGAGTAGTTGGGCTCAAGCCCATGTACTTTAGCACAAAACTAGAAAACTATGTTACGACACCGACTTAGAATATGTAATCAACTTTGTTTTGTTGTGTTTTGGTGTTGAAGGGTATGGTTTCTCTCATATAAGGTGTTACTACGCCGCTGTGTCCACCCTCACCTTGAGTTTCAGCAGAGACCACTGATCTATCTCTCTACAACCCTTTGTTACAAAGTAAGTTTTTTAATTCTTTTTTCATCATATTTTTGTGATTTAATGGTACTTTGTGTGAAGCCCTTGTCTTCTGCTTTTTCGGGTTTCATGTTCTTAATTTCCCAATGTCATTTTTCTGTTAAGATTTCTTCTTTTTTGAATTTATCATTGACTTTATGATTATGGGTGGAATTATTTTCCTTCAAATGATATGTTTTTCCTTTCAGTTCTTTGTTTGCGATCTTTGTATGTGCGTTGTTGAATTCTATTTTTTTCTTATCTTTTATTGTTTATGCTGATTTTTTTTAATGATTGTTCTTACAATTTTGTTCTCAAGACTATATTCATATTTGTGTGTCTTTATTTTACCTAATAATTTCCATAATGAGTTTTCGATTCCTACAAGTTGTTTACTTTTCTTTTGGTTTATTAGTATTTTTACAATTGAAAGTTTTCCTTTAATCTTTTTGCTTACACAGGCTTTTTTGAACAGGGGAATAATATCTTCAATTCATCAGTATGTTTAGTTCATCAGGCGTGGCAGATGGATCTGGTATGTTCAAGGTTCATCAAACAATTGGCAGTGTTTTGTGCTGCAAGTGTGGAATTCCAATGCAGCCAAATGCTGCTAATATGTGTGTGAAGTGTTTGAGCTCGGAAGTTGACATTACCGAAGGATTACTGAAAAAGCTAGTGCTGGTGCATTGCCCTGAGTGTGAGAGTTACTTGCAGCCACCAAGAAGTTGGGTCAAGCTACAGCTAGAATCAAAGGAGTTGCTGACATTTTGCTTGAAGAAATTGCAGAAAAATTTTAATTCCAGTAAAGTGAGGTTGGTACATGCCGAGTTTATTTGGACTGAACCCCATTCCAGGAGGGTAAAAGTCAAGGTCAAGGTTCAGAAAGAGGTTATCAATGGAGCAATTCTTGAACAGTCTTATACCGTGGAGTATGTTCAACAAGAGCATATGTGTGAATCTTGTTCTAGGGTTCAGGCTAATCCTGACCAGTGGGTTGCTGCTGTGCAACTTAGACAACATGTTTCTCATAGGCGTACTTTCTTTTATCTAGAGCAGCTAATTCTGAAGCATGGTGCTGCTGCCAGTGCCATAAGAATCAAGCAGATGGAACAAGGTATTGACTTCTTCTTCTCCAATCGAAGTCATGCAGTTAAATTTGTGGAGTTTGTTGGGAAAGTTGCTCCCGTAAGGAGCCGCAGTGATAAGCAACTAGTTTCCCATGATCCAAAGAGTAATAACTACAACTACAAATATACATTTTCTGTTGAAATCAGCTCCATTTGCCGCGAGGATTTAATCTGTCTGCCTCCAAAAGTTGCTGTTAGTTTGGGAAATATTGGTCCTATTGTGATTTGCACCAAGGTTACCAACAGCATTGCTTTGCTTGATCCATTTACCCTGAGGCACTGTTTCTTAGATGCTGATCAATATTGGAGAACATCCTTCAAGTCATTACTTACTAGCAGACAGTTAGTGGAATATATAGTGCTGGATGTGGAGGTTGTTTCATCGGAGGTTACTATTGGTGGCACAAAATATCGCTTAGCAGATGCTCAAGTTGCTCGTGTGTCGGATTTTGGCAAGAACGACACAATATTTAACATCAGGACTCATCTGGGCCATCTTTTAAATCCTGGTGATTATGCTCTTGGTTATGATCTGTATGGGGCTAATAGTAATGACATGGAGTTGGACAAGTTCAAAGGGCACATTCCTGAAGCAATTTTAATAAAGAAGAGTTATGAAGAGAAGCGCCAAAAGAAACGTGGGAAGCCTCGGTCATGGAAGCTTAAATCACTTGAAATGGAGGTTGATGATAGGAGACTTGATCAAGACAAAATGGTCTCAGAATATGAACAATTCTTGAAAGATTTGGAAGAAAACCCTGATATGAGGTTCAACATATCATTGTACCGAAACAAGGAGTACCAGCCATCAGAGATGGCATCGGTGACTGATGGCGATGAGCTACCTTCTGTTCCATTGGATGAATTATTGGCTGATCTTGATCTGAGTGAAGATGAAGATGAAGAAGACAACATGACAGAATGAACCAAAGCTTTTTGTTATCTTGATATAGTATTTTCTGGAATCTTTGGTTTTGTTCTCGTAGTGTATTTTGTTTTTCCTTCTCCCATTTATGTTTTGTTAATTTGCAACCCCTGATGGTTTGTTTATTGAAAGAATCATAAGATGGTAATTTTGCAGGCAGTAGTGGCAATACTTACAAATCGCTTGCTTTAACATTCTTTTACTATTTCAGTGTTGAATCAGTTCATCTGTCCAACCTTTTTTTTTCGGTGGCTTGGCCATAGACGGTGTAATTGTCAGATAAGGGACATAACCTAAGTTCATATCATATTTTATTTTTTTCAAACCAACTTGTCTGAAATGTGTCTTGTTTCTTTTATGTAAGTTTTCCAGGATTTTTTTAGGAAAGATAAGTATAATTTCTCAATTTACGTGTGAGATTAATGCATTTATTCGTCCATTTTTATCATTGCTCTTTTAAATTGTTTGTCAAAATATTTTTCAAATGGGGTCTTCCCCTGCGTCTGTGAATTAGCCTAATTTATTTTCATGGCTGTTGTCTGTTTAACTGTGCTTCAGCGGTCAAGTCAATTTTGTTTTATCATATCAAGTCGGTAATCTGATTTTTTCTTAAAATTGAATTAATTAAAATTGTTAAGTTTAGATGCTTTGATTTTATAGAATCCAAAATTAATAACTATTTTTTTAAATGTTCATTTATTTAAAAGATGAATATGGTTAGTTTAGGATGCATAGCTAGTTCTTCAAGCAATATATATATATATCACCAAGAAACTTGGGCCAATCCAACTACAGCATTTTATTTGCAGCTTTAAACATTTTGACAGAACCAAACTTGTTATCTCACTTGGAATAGTTCAAAATTCATACAAGATGGAAACATATGACTGACATTTGCAGGAACAAGTTTTAACTAAGACTAAAATATCACTATCAAAGTTTAATATTTCTAACATCTGCATTTCTCCACAGCTTAAGTAAACTACAAAGTTGAAAGTTGCCGTTACATGGCCAGGAAAGAAGGTAACTGGATCTGTAATGCACAACACTGTTGTAAAGCTTTCAATCTGTACTGTGCTAGCCTGCTGGAGCAGTTGTCTGTGTAAAGGCAATTTCTATAGTCACATTCACGAGTGTTGTTCTTGTATCCTAGCAATATTTACACTGTCAAACAATTAAAAGTCATTTTTAGTATGGTGCATAAGCAAGTTTTCTGCTTTTCATACAACACAATACAAATTGTTTAGATAGCAACAAAGTATGAAAAAGCTCAAGCAGTAAAAGAAATGTCACATCCCCCACAGTAGTATATTTCCCTTGGTTGTAAATTTCTCAAGCTGAATTATTTACTGACACAAATATTAACAGGGAACTTTAATTGCTACTTTCAGACTAGATGATTGATATTCAAGGACAGACAAAAATACTTGCAAAAATTTGAGAAAAAAACAGCTGTGTATAAAAATGTGTTCTCAATTTCAAAGGATACACAACCTAGAAAATGAGATCCAAGAACATGTTACTCATGCAGAGTAACAAATTGAAAATAATACGGTTCTTACATAAATCCACCTTGCCAGTTGTAACATCAGGATCAGATGGTGCGTGTCTTTTCTTAGTTTTCTTGCTTTCCATTGGAATTTCTGCTTCCAGTTTACAAACAACACAACAGTTGGATGTTGTGGGTTTTGAAGTTCAAGATGAAATCTTTGGGGAAGAAATCGAGCATGAGTGCTTTGCAAATGAGGAGAATGAGGTCTGATCCATCGGAATACACAGTTAATTGAATTGCAATGGCTTTTCACAGAATCCAGATGTTACGATGCACTGTTGATGCTGGAGAATGAAAGAATGAGCGAATCGATTCCTGGTTCTTACAAGCTTCATTCCTCCACATTAGCTCTGCTTCCTCTGCTTTTTAATTTATGGAGTGGTTTGCAAGAAACTCACTCGTATATCAAAGATAGGGCGTGTTTGATTTTCACTATACAATAGAACAAGATATTATGATAATATTAAAACAAAGATACTGAAAATAGTGATGATGTTATACTGATAATAATAATGTGAGAATGATAACAAGCGACTAATGACTATTTGTAACTATAATTATAATGAAAATAATTGTTCTTATAATAAATGGTATTAATCATAATAATGACGAAAATGATAATATAAATAATAATGTATGATAATAGCAAAAGTGTTGGAAAAAATTTTGTAACAATGAAAAAACTGATAATGGTTGTTACAAAGTTATAAATTATATTTATTTTATGAAGTTAAAATAATAATAATGAATGAATAAATATTTAAATGTCGAAATTACACTATAACTAAAGTTTATAGTAAATAAGTAGATATATTTAATTATTAAACCATAGTTTGGATTTTGTTGAATAAATTAAATTATGAAATAAGATTACTTTCAGTTATAAACAATTTAAATTTGTGCAGGAACTTTAAATCCAAAAGAGAATGTTTTCTAGATAATCGTATTCTCCTTGTTTGTAACGAAACTACAGAGAAGACTGCCATAGCCAGAATTGGAAATGTTCAATTTCAGCACTAACAAAACAAGCATAGGAGAATCAGAAAGAAAGGGATGAATCAGAAAGAAACAAGGAAGATACAACGATGGAGAAGAAAGAGAAAAGAATGAGCAACAGCTGCTACATCAAGAGAAATCCAAAGCAAGCGAAAAGAGAAGACAGTAACAGAGAGCGTTTGAAAAGCAGAGGAGAAGCAGAATGTGACGTTGAATGTTCAGCAGAAATTGCAGAGGTGGGAGGTGGAGGAAGAGGATGCACAATAACAGACACCTTCATTCCACTGAAGCATTGGCCATTTCCACAAATGAAGTAATATCTCTTGGCCTTGTTCAGGGGTATGAAATCCTTTCCACTGCTCCAATTTCCGACCGCCCCTTCAGTGGTGCAGTTGTCATACCCAGTTTGGTTCACCTCAAACACATTGTATTGGTTTTTCTGGTACCTGAATGCTGTTAAGAAAACATGGAAAGTCAGAAAACAATACCAAAAAGAAGAACCATAAAAAAAAATGGACCTTTTACTATTTGCTACTCTTTCAGTAAGGAAAAACAGAGCAACCGTAATGAAAGTAGAAAATAGAAAGTATGTTTAGATCTGTAAGGTTTAGTGAAAATGTATAAACGAAGAAAAGTTTTTCAGATCTGTGAGGTTAAGTGAAGGATCTGGAATGACTGTATGAGCAGAGTGTTTGTAGAAAGGTAGAATAGAGAAAGAGAGATTTTGACGAACAGATAAGGTCGCCGACGTAGAAAGTGTGGTTGTTGGCCCAGAGAGTGTAGTTGAGGCCAGGGTTCCACCCACGATTGGCACCGACAATGTGGTCGGTGGCGGTGGCTACGGCGGAGATGAGTAGCAAGAGGGCACATCGGAGTTTCCATGAGCCTTTCATCTCTGTTGTGCTCTGTTCTGTGCTCTGTGTAGTATTAGAAACAGAGGTGAAGGGTAAAGGACAGCAATTATTGCGTTTGGGCCAAACAAGTTGGACAATTCTGCTTCGCTGTATTACTAACTTCGGGTAACGGTAAAGTGATATAAATTTATTCATTGGATAAAACATTATAAAAATAAAACAAGTTGAGTGGTAAGTAAAAGTATCATATATTTTCTAGATTAAAAAAATAGTGTGATAAAAAAAAATTATATTGTAAAGTACGTAAAATTTATTATTAGTATTATAAACTTTAAAATGATTATCATAAAACTAATAAATGCATTGTATGTAATAGTTTATAGTTAATTGATGATGTACATTTATGTTTACAATGACATTGTATGTACTAATCATTATTAAAAAAATAGTAAAGTTTTAGTTATTGTAATTTCATTTCTTTTTTCTGAAAAAGAAATAGCCATGCTAAAATATCATGTTATTTCATTTGAATTAAATCTTTTCCATGATTTTCTTTAATTCTTAAATTTTAAGCATTCATAACAAGGTTGATTACCCATTTACACAAAATATTTAAGAAAAATGTTTTTCTTGGTGCAACAATAAACTTAAAAAAGCATTTAAAAGAGTTTATTTAAATTCATATGTTATGATATAATTCATCCTTTATTATATTTCATTTTAATAAAATTTATTAAAATATTTTTTAACTTATTCAAATTAAGTCTACAATCAAGAAAAGAAAAAATTATATTTGAAAAGTTTAATGGATAATTTATAGTGAATGAACTAAAAAGGAAAGATTTAGGTTTTTTTAATGAAAGGAAATTAGGGCTCTTTGAGTGGTCTGAGCTGAGAGGGTAAGCTTCGAAGGGAAGATGAGCAGCGACGCAAAACCCAATAGCGGTGGCAACGCCGGAGGAGGATTCAGGTCAAAGGTCAATTTCTATCTCCATAGCGGCGACAAGAGACATGTTTTCGTTGGTTTAACTCTCATCACCGCTGTCTTTAGCGTCCCATGGTTCTTTATGAATCGAGGTACACCTTCCTCTCTTTTTTTATTCTAATTGATTTCTTTTATAAATATTATCAATTGCCCTTCAGTTTAAATTTGTTATCGCTTTCAAAGTTCTGAACTTTTCTTGACATTATCAATGAGTTCATTCTGGCAGCGCTGTTATGTGTAAAGCTGGAATCTTGGTGCTATTGATTTTCTTAGGATTTGAACATTGTAACCCTCTTGGATAGCATTTGCAATGAACAAAAAACTTTGACCTGTTCAATTGATTGTTCAAAATTGAAAAGGGAAATATGATTAGTTCAATTAAACCTTGTGGAGCTGGTGGCTTGCGTTTGATTTTCTGTGTTGATTGAATGGTGTGGTACTCACATATTAGCTGGGTGTCTTAGATATTTTGCTTCACCAAAGTGGTTGTGTATGTTCTTATTGATGTTCTAATATTAGATGTGCCCTTTGGCTACTTAAATTAGAATTGAAACTCGGTGAAATTAATTTAGACTTTGTTTAAGAAGGGGGGCTTTTGGCAAACACTTGATGGAATAAAGTAAATTTATCTCAGAGAGTATTGCTAGCACCTTTTATAGGATTCACGAACATATAAAATTCTGTCAATGGTGGTTTGACATTTCGTACCAGCAAACTTTCACATGTTGGTTTTTAACCTGAGGTTTTGATGAAATTGCTCAATGTTCGGAGTTCCACAGTCAGTAGAATAAACTTACTTGATATGATCCTCTGATACTTAATTTTTGAGACTCTCCTACCTAATACATTAGTCTTTTGTGTTAGATTCTTTTCATATGCTTAAATCATAATAATTGATACTTTCATTGAGAGTTGGGTTATAGAAGGACTGCTTATAAGTTATACATGAAGGTGGAAACCGATTATTGATAGGTAAGTGAGCCTGTCAAAGAAAAAAAAAGGTCACTTCGTATCATCGGGTCAATATTGATATTGATAGAGTGAAAGCGGCCATGGATATCAATTCTTGGAGGAAGGTCTTGGAAGTCACTCATCAAGTAATATAAATCATTTTTTTGGTATGGTACTTAAGCGTTTAGGACTGCGGTTGTATTCTTCTCGTGTACTTAGTCTTAACTCTCAGCCCTTCTTTCCTTCTTCCTCTGTATTCAAAAGAAAGTCCAAGACCTGCCCTGAGAAAAACAGTATATGTAAAGTGGAGGGAAATGCATGAATGAAACTATTGTTCTTCATGTAATTAGCTCTTCTCTCTTTCTTCTCCATCGCCTTTTAGTTGCCAGTAATTGGTCTATTGAACAAAAACTGGATGTGTAGTGGGATTGTTCAGATCCTGAGAAAGGCAATTGCTAAAAGGGTTCTCTAAAATTGCTCCATTGTCTGAGCTTCTGAGGGATTAGCATCATATCAATGCATGCGAGGATATCCTGGTCAAATGCCAAAACAATTTGGTAGATCTATTCTGTTCATGTGCATGCTATGACATGGCATGACCATACAATTAAAACGATCCTGACATAAATGCATTGCACCTAGGCTGTTATTTAGTGCATGGTTTATTGTTTGAAATCCAGAAACAAAATTAGATTTCATAAGAAATTACTGTAGTGCCTTCAATGATGTTTTTCTTTTTGATTTGTTGCTTTCGATTGTCACATTTAGATAGTTTAAATGGGTTTTAGATTTAGAATTTTGATATATACTTCATTTCATTGCAGCCATTAAAATAGTTAATCTTTTGAACTTCTTGTTTCCTTGCAGGGAGTAAACACCAGTCTCACCAAGATTACTTGGAAAAAGCTGATAAAGCAAGGAGCGAAAGACTTTCATCCAGTTCAGCTTCTGCTAAATGATCGTCGCCAGCATGCTGTTAAAGACCATTCTTTTCCAGTAACACTAAATTAAAAGGCATTACATGTTTGTTGGATGTCCTTTTCTCTCTAGTTTTATTCTTTGGGATGGAGATCCATTTTCCTTTTGCCACTATCCTGCTCTGATAAATCGGTCTTTTGATTTGGAAAAAAGAACTAATGGTGTATAAGAAATTTTCCTTATATAATAAAATTGGTTAGGTATGCAGAATATAAGCATCGGCAATTATTTCAGTGCAGTGTCTGTGGTAACCTACTTTTATCGTGTTGTGGTAACATGTTTAATTCAACTACTTTCTTTGTGAAAAACAGTACACGTTGTTGACCTCGAAAGAATGAAGATTGCAGCAAATAAGAAACCACGGAAACGATGCTATGTGAAAAATTGGTAAAGCTCGGTTTCTTGTTTTAATAGTAGGAAAATTTTACTGAAACTCTCTACAACAGCATGATAGCATGGATCAGATCCAGAAGATAGAAGATTAAATCATTAGAAGATTTTATAAGAGATATTTTTTCTTAGATAGAAGATATAGTTTAAATATTGATAATTATTTAGTTTATATTTTGATTCCTTAAAATAGGATAATAACATTTGTGACCTGACAAACTCGAACCCTTTTTGAGTAAGTGCGTATACGAGCATACTTAAAATAATGTGTTTAAAAAGTAATTGAATACGTGTGTAAAACAAAGAATGATGTAAAATCTACTATTAGAAGAACCTTATTTTTCTTAAGGGCATCAAATTTAATACCATAAATCCAAACACGAGATAAGATTATTCTGATTTATATATTATAAAAGCAATTCCATTTTATTAGAATAAAACAAAAACAGAGTATTGACAGATTGCGACGGGAAACTACCCTTCAAAGAAAGAACAATGTAGTGTTGAAGGGCTAGCATTTATGACCTCTCTTATGGATACACTGCACATTGTTCACGCATTCAACAACTTATCGGAAACGTTTTTTAATACATACAAACATAGGACAACAAAGTTGGCCCCCCTAATTTTGAAGCGATATGCTCAAATGTAGTGTACTGATACATCAGTTTATATGCAATAATACATACATTTGTATTTATTTGAAAGCTTAAATAATGACCATTTTTGTCACTTGTCATATTAAGGTCATTAGTATTGGGGATTAAAGCGAGATTTCCTCAACTTCAATTATACATAGAGGAATTTACATTCGCTTCAACTTGGATTATATACACAGCACACCAGTCACACCATTTGGTGTGGATGATGATTATTCAGAAGGCTAATAATTATGAACAGAGAATAAGTCAAAATATTCATATGTATGGATTAATATGTGAAGTGTAGTCACGAATTCCTGCTCCTTCCCACCCCATCCACTCCTCCCACATGTCATAATCTGGGCCGTTCGTTTCTCTCAGTGACTCATCTGTGTCATTGTCATAAATACTCTCGTAAGTTTCTGTCGCAGTTGATTCTCCTCTCAACCTAGCCATCACAGTCTGCATTCCAATAATCCCAATTAGCTATCTTTGCAATAAAGTTCAAAACTTTGGTATGGCCCAACACAATCAAAAAAATATTGCTTTTGATGCAATTGTGGATGCAATTTCAATTATTGGTCACACTTTTAGCAGTCCAAAACAATTGCACCTGAACTGTGTATATTACTTTTGTTGGGGAGGGGAAAAAATAACAATCATTGAACAGCTGCAACTACTGAGATAAACAAGTTTCCATTACATGATAAAAGTATCTATGCAGCTGAAATCTGGAGAAGGAGAAGAAATAGGATAAATAACTTACATCATATGCCTCGTTGATTTCGTGAAATTGCACCCCGCAATTGCTCCCTCTGCATACATCTGGATGGTACTGAACCAAACACAGAACAACAGAAACTAATCAATACTTGTAAAATTAAGAAAAACAATTGTCCAGACACCACAGGGCTATTGAAAATCAAGATCAAAACAGGTAAACCAGATATCAACCCAATCCAATGAGATAAAATAAAATTTAAGGTAGGGATTGAAACCTGCAGAGCGAGCTGTCGGAAAGCCTTCCTGACTTCAGATTCAGAGGCACCTCGTTGTATTCTCAAGGTCTTGTAAGGATCCATCACAGAAGAAGAATAAGAGCAACAAACCCTAGATCTGTTCATCTTGGCATGCTTCCTTTCCTTGCCTTTGAATTGCATCCAGGAAGCAGACGAAGCATTACCACCAACAACCCCAGCAGACGTCGCAGCAGCCATTTTTGCAGAAAAGGGCTTAATCTCCCAAAACGAAATACCGAAGAGAAAATCTCAGAAGCACCC